AACAAAAACGAAACGAAAAAGCGAAAGTGGGTTTGTTTTACGTGTAGTGCGGTTCGCATGCGCTTACTTATATAATACAATAAAATACAATATGTACAAATACATTGAAACACATTAATCTGGATTGCATGCTTGTATAAAGTAGGAGGGCAAACGTTTTTGGACCAGGAACTGGGCCCTGTTTCACGAAATTTTAACTAAAGATAAAATCCAAATTTTAGTAGATACTTCAATTTTGATTGGCTAAGCACTAAAATCAATCTAATATTGTCCAATCAAATTACTAAAATTTGGATTTTATCTTAGTTAAAATTTCGTGAAACAGGCCCTGGTCGCACCGCTACTCATTTTGTTCTTCTTGTTCTTCTTGGGGTGACGCTCTTTGAAAAAGGCCCGGAGGTCGGGTGTTCGATCCCTGCATTGGCCGAGAAGTTTCATTCAGATTTTCCGGCGTGGTTCCCCCTTGTCAGTGATGTAGGACGGGGGGCCTGACAAGGACAGCTGTCTAGTCCTTCGGATGAGACGAAAAACCTAGGTCCCGTGTATACATTGGAATGCACGTAAAAGATCCCTTGGCAGTTGGAATTTTCCTCATAGCACACTGTATGGCGTATGTCCGTCTTCATTAGCCCAGCATAGGAGCAGAACATGCTTGTATTATGCAGGAATTCTAGAAGAACATGTTTGTTATCCGCGGCTTGTTTGCATGCTTGTATTATGTAGACATTCTAAAATAGCCTATGGCTTGTTTGCATGCTTGTATTATGTAGACATTCTAAAATAGCCTGTGGCTTGTTTGCATGCTTGTATAATGAATGAATTCTAGAATAACATATTCGTTATCCGTTGTTTGTTTGTTTGCATGCTTGTATAATGAATGAATTCTAGAATAGCATATTCGTTATCCGTTGTTTGTTTGTCTGTCATCTGTGTTGTTGATGTATCTATGTAGCGTACTGAAACGACTGCTACGTTCTGATTCATTTCTACGAAAGTCTGGCTCAATATCACAGCAATCTTCATCTTCAATAGAAGGCTTGATCTCGCTTTAACTGCGTACATCTTATCGAGGCCTTCGCGTAATACCCTGCTTATTTCGGCACTAATTTCGATTGGGTGCAAGCCCAGCTTGTGAGCCTATCAGATTCCTCGATCGTCGCGAATACTAAGTTTCGCGCTTTCAAGCCAAAATGTCTACCTGTGATAATCGAATTGCAAAGGTCAAGGTTCGTTCAATGTCAAGGTTTCCGTGGAGGTCGCTGTGTTACAACCTACGATTGGACGCTCACGTGTCTGTAGATAACGGTACGTAGATATAAGTTCGGGAATTGTGAAGTAAACTAGCAACATCCAGATGTTATAAAACTGGCAGTCGTTGCTTTAGGAACATGAGCAATCTTCTGGAAGGATCAGAGGTAATTGATAGAAGCTAATTATCCGCAGACCAATCGCCACACCGTACTTAATATACAAGGGTCATCGATTAACAATAGCATGTCGTAAACACAGATCTAATAAGCCTGGTTTATAACCGCCATATCCATCTGATTAATAATAATAGGCCTCATAATTACCCTGATCAATACGGTACGGCCTGGAGGGGATCAGGGTCCGTGATATGAACTACCATTCAATATATCTGTATATCCACCTAGATCAGCATGGAATACACAAATATAAACAACATTGATCGTTCTGTGAACCCATCCAAATAATTAAAGGGAGAGCGAGAGAGAGAAAGAGAGAGGATCGCCTGTTCAACCTCGTGGGTTTTCTCCGGGTCCTCCGGTTTCCTCCCACGGCTAAAGACCCCCTATGCGCAAGCGAATTATTGAAATAAAATAGATTCATATGTTAGTCCCGAAATGACCTAGTTTGTGTCGAGTGGACGTTGAACCCATTTCTCTCTCTGTCTCTGTCTCTTCCCCCCCCCCGCTTTTAGACCGATGTTCGTCTACTTTAAGGTTCCAAAGAATAGATCTATATGCCCTTTAAGTAGTATAACATTGTGTTGTTTTCGTTTTTTGCCCAGCTGTTATGGTATTGATTAACAACAATTACAACTATAGAGAGTGAGAGAGAAATGGGGTTTAACGTCCACAATTACAACTATACATATAGACTAAAAGACAAAGTAAATTTAACACAAACACTTTAATTCTAAAAAAGACATGCACATCACTGATCAGTACCTATCGTGCTCGAAAAGCCAAGGTACGGGCATTATCGTTGGTTGGGGGCGGTGTGATTCTGGGCTTTGGCATTGAGGCAAAGATATATATGGTAAACATTTTTGAATTCGAAGGACATGTTGGTGGAGGGGTAAAACTAAAAAAAAAAGAAGAAACATTTGACTATCTCGGCTCTGCATCCAGTAAATGTCTTTTTGTAATTGTACTACCCAAACCTCTAAACGTGAGCCACGGTGGCTAAGTGGGTAAGACGCTGGCTCACTAGCCTGGAGGTCACGTGTTCGATCCCTGCATTGGCCGAGAAAGTTCATCGAAATTTTCCGGCGTGGTTCGCCCTTGTTAGAGATGTAGGACGGAGGGCCTGACAAGGACAGCTGTCTAGTCGATCGAATGGGACGAAAAACCGAGGTCCCGTGTACACATTGGCGTACACGTAAAAGATCCCTTGGCAGTTGGAATTCGATATAAGAGTAGGCCATGGTGCCGCTGCCCGAGCAAAAGTTTCCTCATGGCACACTCAGAGCAAAACAGTAGGACGTCAACCCCCATTTCAGTTCAGTTCCAACGTCCAAAAATGTACGGTTCTACGATTTCAAGGTATTCCAGAAAAATAATAATATTTGCTTAAGTTATTGTGTTTGTATGTTTTTGCTATTGTATCGCCACATTGTATCTGATCTATATATTGATTTAGAAATTATATATGTAAAACCAGGATAATATTATTAAACCCGCCAATACTCTAAACAGGATTTGATCCACGGGTTATTAGAGATAACCAATCGATGTATTTACGATCTGTGGTAAATTACCTTAACAGAACCGTGGTAAAATGAATTGCAGAAACTCGGAATGTCATTATCTAACCTATATAATAATAGAACCGCCAAAACAGGGTTCAGACCACTTGTGTATTTTATTAACGTACGATTTGTAGTAAATTAATATAACAGAACCGTAAGTAATATGAATTACAGAAATACGGAATGTCTTTATCTAACCTATATAATAATATAATAATAGAACCACCAAAACAGGGTTCAGACCGCTTGTGTTTTTATTAACCTACGATCTGTAGTAAATTGCCTTAACGGAACCGTGAGTAAAATGAATTACAGAAATACGGAATGTCTTTATCTTATACAATAATAGAACCACCGAAACAGGGTTCAGACCACTTTTGTCTATTTTATTAACCTACGATCTGTAGTAAATTGCCTTAACGGAACCGTGAGTAAAAGTAATTACAGAAAGACGGAATGTCTTTATCTTATATAATAACAGGTCCACCAAAACAGGTTTCAGACCACTTGTGTATTTTATTAACCTACGATCACTGGCAAATTATCTAAACGGAACAGTGAGTAAAATGAATTATAGAAAGTCGAAATTTCATTATCTAACCTATTTCTTACACTAATGATTACACAAGAGAACCAAACCGCACAAAGAGAAACCAATGCATGAACGAATGAATGAATGTAAATTGAATTCCAACTGTCAAGAGTTCTTTGACGTGCACGTCAATGTGTGCGCGGGACCTCTTTTTTTCGTTCCATCCGAACGATTAGTAGTTGTTTCTTGCCAGGCCCCCAGTCCTGCATCACTTACAAGCGGTAACAACGCCGAGAACACGAGAATCCCGTAAACATCTCGGACATTTGGAAGTAATAAGCCATAAAAATGCTATCAAATCAATTGATCCATGGCCCAGCAGGTAGCATCCACTGCCTACAGTAAATCTAGTAGTAAGTGCAGGAGAACCACAGAAACAAAGAAAAACTCGTGGACATAATACACCCCAAGTAAGTAATACACCCCAAATCATGTCTCCGTCTGAGAACGGTCGGTATAGGTTTAGCTCGACTTATTTCAAACCAAGGGCACGTAACCTATTTTTCACACAAATGTGCCCGGATGTAAGGGTCGCTTGTAGTTTACCTTTTCGGTCTATGTTTTTTTTTTGTATTGGTGTTTAAATGGTTATAACTTGTTAAATACAACACGATCGTTTATTTAGTGACAATAATCGTGAGAAACTAAGTTTATATATTGTTAAATAAATAAATAGTATGGTATATTTATTTATGGTGGGGCACCCTAGCATTGGCATAACAGACGAAACAAGAACATGTTCCGTTTTCCAATATAACACGGGGTCCGGGATAGTCGAATGACAGAGCATTGACCTACAGAATAGAATATCTCGGGTCCGTGGTAGTCGAATGACTAGAGCATCTCGGGTTCGAAGCACCGTGTGGGCGAAAGCTTTTAAATACCGTTTCTCCCGGAAAGCCGAAATCCAGCCGTGTAAACAATGACATGCGCGTAAAATAATCCTTGGCAGATGGAATGCAACGAAGAGTAAGCGAACCACCGTTGTCCCGGTAAAATTCCCTCAGCTCCATTTGTAATTAAATGGGCATAATTTAGCCTTACAATGACCGGTGTTATATACTGACGACACTTTAAACCATATTCCATTCCAATACAGATTATGTTTACTGCGAGAACTTATTCTAACCTCGCGGGTTTTCTCCGGGTGCTCTGGTGGTTTCCTCCCTCTGCTAAAGACCCCGATGCGCAAGCGAATTATTGAAATAAAATTAAACCAAATGTCAGTCTCGAAATGACCTATTTTGTGTCGAGTGGACGTTACCCCTTCTCTCTCTCTCTCTCTCTCTCTCTCTCTCTCTCTGCGAGAACATTTCCTTGAAGGCATATTTTGTTGGCTTCAGTGATCGAACATTCTCCTAATCGCGTATCTCTGTCCAACATAAATCAATTGTAAAAATAATAACAACTTACCTGCGGACAAACAAATCGACAATAAAGTCAGATTTATAATACTCGAACACAGGCTAGCCACAGCTAAAATCCTAAACAACGTACATGTCATTTTCTTTTTGCGTTTTATCGACATTTTGTTGATAGAAAGACTAGCGAGCTATATATACTCGTGACAGTCAATTGAGCCGTTACCAGTAATCCTCAAATAATCTAACAACTAAACGCACGTCGAGTTATATATTGCCCCGGAGGACCAAGATGCTTCTACACCAGACAAAGCTTTACTGGGATAAAAGGATACAATGACGCCGTTTTTATTTATGGTTAATAACTCAGTACATTAGACCCCAGGAACAGAGTTGGACTCTAAGAGACGATACATAAATATATCAAGCATAGTTTGTTTTAACTTCCATATTATGAACTACTTATCATGATGCACAATTAAGTTGTAGGCTATTTATCTGAATCACTGTTTGCGACTCCAAGCACGGGTATAGAATAAATCACAAACATACGATAAAGGTCTATATCAATTATAGTTTATCTTATGAGGCTATTTATCTGAATCACTGTTTTCGACTCCAAGCACGGAAACAGATTAAATCGCAAACATACGATATATATCTTTATCAATTATCGTTGGTCTAAATTTTTGTATAAATTACTTATTATGATGCACAATTAAGTTGTAGGCTGTTTATCTGAATCACTGTTTTCGACTCCAAGCACGGAAACAGAGTAAATCGCAAACATACGATATATATCTTTATCAATTATGGTTGGTCTTAATTTTTGTATAAAGTACTTATTATGATGCACAATTAAGTTGTAGGCTATTTTTCTAAATCACTGTTTGCAACTCCGAGCACAGGAATAGAGTAAATCGCAAACATACGATATATATCTATATCAATTATAGGTTGTTCTAACTTTTGTATGAAGTACAGTTCAGTTGTGGGCTGTTTATCTGAACCACTGTTTGCGACTCCGAGCACGGAAACAGAGTAAATCGCAAATATACGATATATAGTTTGTTCTAACTTTTGTATGAAGTACTGATCATTAAGTTGTAGGCTGTTTATCTAAATCACTGTTTTAGACTCCAAGCACAGGAACAGAGTAAATCACAAACATACGATAAAGATCGTTATCAATTACAGTTTCTTTTAACTTTAGTATGAAGTACTGAACATGACGGACAATTAATATAACCATATAACAATCCAGAAGATGGTTTTAAACTACAAACGCTTCATTCGTCAGATATAGATCCCTATGCTCACGCTTTAATCATGTAACTTATAGAAATGGTGTCCTGGATTCCTCGTGTATTTAAATCCTTACTTACAATAGCACAATTTGCAGGGTCAGAAATTTAGATATGAGTTAATAGTATGTTTATAGTAAACTTTAATTTGAACCATCGGTAGGTCTCGTACTTGAGGTGTCCGTTAAAGGGATGAAAATTCCAGTTAAACTTATCCAAAACACCACTTTGTGCGAATTTCGACACGGTAAGATATAAGCTTTTCTAACACACTACTTCAGACGCAGTAAGAGTTGTGATAACAAATCCATAGTAACCACAATGAGTTTATACAATAATGAATATAATGTACTTGAGGTGTGCGTTGAACGGGTGAAAATTCCAGTTAAAGTTATCCAAAACGCCACTTTGTCCGAATTTCGACACGGTAAGACTTAAGCTTTTCTAACACACTACTCAAGACGCAGTAAGAGTTGTGATAACAAATCCATAGTAGCCACAATGAGTTTATACAATAATGAATATAATGTAATTAATTTCCATCATTACATAAATCAACGATTTCTCTCTGAACCCTGAATTAAGCTCTCTAAAAGATACAAGTCAGTAGTTGCCGTACAAGTCAATGTATAGCTTAAGATTGATGGATCCAATTGTTTAACAGTACCTCGCTCTCACACACTGTACACGTCTATACACCGAACAAACCTACCAATCGATGTAAAGCTTCGTGTGTTTACGTATGAAGTAGGTTTAGTTAACGTCCGCTTCCACCAACGTGATATCGCAGACAATATTTGGTGTGTTTATAACAGCTACTAAACTAGGGTTCCGCGTCCGCTTCCGCTGGTGGTGATATCGCATACACCCTGTGTGAAATAACTTTATTTAACGTCGGCTTTCCACCGATGTGATATCGCCGACAATGTTTGATGTGTCTATTACAGCTACTAAACTAGGGTTCCGCGTCTGCGTCGTCTGGTACTGATATCGCATACACTCTGTGTGAAATAACTTTATTTAACGTCGACTTTCCGCAGAGGTGATATCGCCGACAATGCGTGGGGCTTCCAATACTGCTACTAACAAACTAAGAGTTTACGTCCTCTTCCAACTAGGATAATATCGCAGACAGGTGAGAAGCTTCAATGTAAACCACTTCATAAGTGGTTAAATATATCCCTTGTATTGAAAGACATTCTAGCTATGTAAGTCGGTCGAGATTCACGTTTCAAAACAACTTAAGTCTCTCCAATCTCAAACAACAACTTAAAGTGGTATTATGGGAGATTAGATAAAACCTTGACAGTTCTCGCTATAATAGTTTAAAAAATAGATAACGTAAATAGAATATGCTGACAATTTCAGTCAAATTACAGATCTAGCTATACTAGTTCAAAAATAGATAACGTACATAGAATATGCTGAAAATGTCAATCAAATTTCTCCACTCTGAACCGAGATATTAGCTTTAGAATTATAGGCTAGCCTCGATCCTCATTACTAAAGTCAATACGATAAAAAAAAAACAACGTCTCTATTATCCAGTTTTATTTTTCAAAAAAATGTATTCCAATCGGCTAAATATCCCAGGTTAGCGATGGCATCTAGAGTTGATTATGGTCTGGATAAGTCAATTAATGTCTAATTAATAAATTAGATAACATTTAAGGACTAAAGAAAGACCTACAATGGACAGATTTAGCTCTTGCATAATGGGGGGGGGGGGGTAGCTGAATGGTTAACACGTGCGTGCTGTACCATAAAGTCTGCCATTGAGTCAACTGGCGTGGTTTCAAATCCCCGGTTGTACGTGGCAAGGAGTAGGGTCGCCTGTCCAACCTCGTGGGTTTTCTCCGGGTCCTCCGGTTTCCTCCCACTGCTAAAGACCCCTACGCGCAAGCGAATTATTGAAATAAAATTAAACCATGTGTTAGTCCCGAAATGACCTAGTTTGTGTCGAGTGGACGTTAAACCCCATTTCTCTCTCTCTCTCTCTCTCTCTCTTGCATAATGTATGTTTAATATAAACTTTATATTCCTCGATGTTTGTATCATATATTGGCATTAACAAGAGCCATACATAAAAAAAGAGAGTCTGAACAACTGCGCCATTTTGGTACCTAAAGTGTAAGTTTCATAGATTAAAATTAGAACAGACCTATTATACATTTATGAGAGTCGTTGATAATGAAATAAATGGATAAATGAAATTTGGTTTAACTTCCTACTGTTCTGCTCCGACTGGGCTAATGAAGACGGACATACGCCATGCAGTGTGCTATGAGGGAAATTTTGCCTGCACAGCGGCACTACGAGTAACAGTTATACCAAATTCTAAATGCTAAGGGTTATTTTACGTGCGGCTCAATGTGTATAGGGTATTTCGGTTTGTCATCCAATCCAAACGTCTCTACGTTGTCCCTCGCAAGGCCCTCCGTCCTGCAACACCGCGCCGCCAACGTGGCCTCGATTTTTCGTCCCATGCGAACGAAAAGACAGTTGTCCTTGTCAGACCCTCCCTCCTGCACCACTTACAAGGGGAAACCACGTCGGAAAATCTCGATGAACTTTCTCAGCCAATACTGGGATGAAACACGCGACCTCCGGGCTAGCGAGCCAGCGTCTTACCCACTTAGCCGCCGTGGCTCCCGAAATAAATGGGTAAGATATAGTGGTTCATAGGTATAGGTTTAAACTGTGTAAAAATCTATAATTAACCCAAAAAGACACTTTATTGCCCAATTTTTTTTTTGTTCATTTTTTTGTGCTACTATTTAGATTGAGTTTATCATAATTTGGTTATACAGTCTTTTTGTATATATTTTATTTTATATAGGAGAGAGGTAATATGGGCCTAGTCGTTTCTCAATCCTTTTCGGAGAATAAAATATTGTTTATAAAATTTATAAAAAAAAAAATTCTGGCAACAACCTAAGTGTAACACACTCTCGCAATGCAATGATTCAGTTATGTTGAAGTCAGTGTAAACTTAAATACAATTTTCCACTCGAGTTCACTTCTCTAACAATATTATATTTTCGTAATTAAATTTTGAAAAGATTCCTCTAGCCATATTATAGTGATGAAAACAAACCTCACGTAGAAGTAGTTAGTTATCGGATTCAAGTGTTTGTTTGTCTTATCTCTGCAGGTGTTATAGAAAATATAATCACAATAACAATCTATACGCATCCTGTGTTGATAGCCTTATTAAAGTATTCAATTATAGGCAGGGAGGGGGGAGGGGGAGAGGGGAGTGTGCGTGTGTGTGTGTGGGGGGGGGGGGGTACCGTGCGTTGTATCTATCATAAGGTCTGTCATTAAGTCATCTGGCATGGTTTCGATTCGCCGGTTGTACGTGACAGGGAATAGGATCGCCTGTCCAACCTCGTGGGTTTTCTCCGGGAACTCAGGTTTTCTCCCACTGCTAAAGACCCATACGCGCAAGCGAATTATTGAAATAACATTGAACCATATGTTAGTCCCGAAATGACCTACTTTGTGTCCCCTTTTCTCCTATCTCTTTATTCAATTACAAACGATCTCTATGAATTAGAAATGAACATTTCAATTACTTATAAACGATCTTTCTTAATTCCCAATGCACTTTATTTAGCTACCAACGATCTCTTTTAATTTCAAATGAACATTTCATTTAGGTACAAACAAAACTCTTGTAATTTCAATTTCATTAGATCAATCTATATTTCGAATTACCCTTGTGTATACATCTATATTTTATTAGTTCCTCTTTAAAGGGCGTATGACTGTTTGGAAGTTAAAGGAGAGTTAACGGATGATTACCAATTGGAACTCATCTTCGATGACCATTTGTCACAATTAATTCAAATCGATCGGATTACACCGTATTCCATTCTCATTCAAAACTATGACTTTTTTTATTTTCCGTTTACGAGCGACCGAGCGAGAGAGAGAAAGAGAGAGAGACAGAGGGAGAGAGAGAGAGAGAGAGAGAGAGAGAGAGAGAGAGATGGGGTGTAACGTCCACTCGACACAAACTAGGTCATTCCGGGACTAACATATGGTTCAATTTTAGCAGTGGGAGGAAACCGGAGGACCCGGAAAAAACCCACTTTATTGGACAGACGAACCTACTTCTTGTCAGGTACAACCTCCGGTCAATCGAAACCACGCCAGTTGACACATCCTAGGATACAGCGCGCACTCGTTAACCATTCGGCCATCCACCCCATCCGTTTATGTAAGTTTTTAGTCAAACTAATTTAAAACAGGCCAGTGACTTATATAAATCTACGTCATAAAGAAACACAACCTGAATCGACCTGGAAATTATTTTAATAAATTATACGAAAACGTGTCTCACTAGTAAAAAGCACTGAATAATTATAAGCGTATCCTATCCATCAGTAATATATACATACGAAACGCAATACTTCAAAATAAGAAAACGGATTCAAAAGGTAATCAATAAAACGTTTTTCTTTGATAAAACAGAAAAATCGTTAGTTTACTGAACTGTTGGGATTCCAAGACGATTTATTTAAAGCAATTGGTGAATGCTAACAACTCGGCTGTCAGTTTCCCTGTGAAGTTTTAAAGTATACTACAATATAGGAAATGAAATGAAATGGGGTTTAACGTCCTACTGTTCTGCTCCGAACTGGGCTAATGAAGACGGGCATACGCCATACAGTGTGCTATGAGGGAAATTTTACCCGGACAACGGCACTACGTCCTACTCTTATATCGAATTCCAATTGTACAGGGATCTTTAACGTGTACTCCAATGTGTACACAAGACCTCGGTTTTTCGTACCATCCGAACGACTAGACATCTGTCCTTGTCAGGCCCTCCTTCTTGCATCTAGGGAGAATCACGCCGAAAAATCTGGATAAACTTTCTCGGCCAATGCAGAGATCGAACTCCCGACCTCCAGGCTGATACTACAATATAGGACATCCACGTGGAGAAATATCGAACAAAACACAAGTTTCAATATGTGCGGGTTTAGAACAACATTAATAACGGATATACACGACTGATTCCTCGAGTTTCCTTTGTTTATTGACCTGTGTACACGCTAAGTTTAATATAAAATTAGATTATTCTTTTGATTTGAAGACACAGAACAGGAAGCAGCCGTCTCCCCTCGGTTCACAGTAATGCGTTGATATATCACGATTTAATAAAATCAAAGTAGTGTTTTACTTAAAATGGCGACGTTAGAAGACTAATTTGTTACATCCCTTTAAATTCCCGGATTTAATCTCAAGTCTCTATAACCTAATTTATAAACAGTAGCCTATGTATCAATGTTAACCTGTCTTAAAAGCGTCAGAACTTCAGTTTGTATAGTATATGTATTCATTTGAGTGGAATTTTATTCTCTTCTTCTTTTTCTTCGAATATTATTGATTGGTTGATTGATTTCAATAGATTTATATAGATCTCTAAAGCAATAAGATTAATACACAGATCCTATTTCGTTTCGTTTTTATAGTTAAAAATTTCGTTTTACTTGTCTTCACTACACTGGGATCTGGAAGAGTTGTTATCATTAATGTGTTCATAATGGTGTGAGGTATTAGCCAATGAAACGGTCTGTTACGGCGAGCTTTAAGCGTGTTTTGCACGGAACTGTGGGTAATCCACTAGTGACATCAATGCTGATTGGTTAATCAAATGTCTGACGTCATAGGTCAAACGCCGCTCGTATGACCTCTGACGTGACTTATCGCAACAACCGGTC